GCTAAGGCGAGATCTTCCATCCATCCCCGAGTATATTACTTTCCCTTTAGGCTATAATACACATGCCAAAAATTATCATTGCCTATGCATTTTACCAGGAGATATACCCTGACAAACAGTGGGTAGTTTCTTTTGGAACACCCTGTATATATGGCCATTTCATATATGGTCTTATATGAAATTTTCATGTGGGACAATACAACTTAGAAGCTTGATTCTGGTGCCATATTCAGATCTGATCATTCAAAAATGCAATAATGGAGAGTTTTATGTTTATCTGGATGATATATTGACCTTTTAATACATTCAAAAGGAAAAAAATAGAAATGCTTCATTATTTTCAATGGAACAATCATGACACTGGAGAAAATATTTTGGAAAACACTAAATTCCTGTCATATTTTAGAAATGAATGCATATGCTTCTTTTGAGGCATGATCAAGACAAAAAGAAACAGCAGCCAGCAAAGTAAAAGAGGCATCAATCTCATTGCTCAGAATTGGCCAAATTAAGTTCAGGCTAGGCATGGACCATGTTATTGCCCTTGTCAAAGTTCAATGTGAGTACCACATCCTCAAGATCCATGATACACTTCACACTCTTGAGGAGACCTTTTGTGAAGAGAGACTGGCAGTGGACTCAACCCAAAGGAAATGAGCTTTTCATTGAATTAATGAAAAGCTAATTTCCTTTGAAAACAATTGCATAAATGAGGAATCATGTGATAATATGGGAATTGAATGCTTCCAGATCTTCTAAATTATGGGATGCATGTGATGAAAATATGAACTCTTCACTTTATTTGGATTCGATGGCATTATACATACCATCTATAGTATTTAGGGGCAATGAAAGTATTATTGATCTTATTCTGGATGTTTTACTTTCACTGCTGGACCTTAGACTGTACATCTGCTATGACATGTCCTCTTTGGTCTAAGAAGATGTACTATTGGTACTTCATTTAGTTATTCCATAAGATTTCCTCACATGATATTCTTTCATGGAATTGTCTCTCTCTCTCTCTCTCCCAATTTGTTATATTTATATTTTATTTTTATTTTTTAACCAACCTTGAATTTGGCCACATGGCACTAGTTATGAAATTGCAAAAAAAAATCACAACGAAGGTGGATTAAATTCTTAGAAATTATGGAAACTTCAAAGACATAAAGTACTTCTATATTTGGACTTATAAAATTGAAAGTATTGGATGCTTAGATAATTGCACTCATAGGTGTATAGATTTATGGTAGGATGTATCTCCTCAGAACAGGAAATAACTCATCCTATTGCAGGAAATGATTAATATGGAATGCAGTCTTTTGTTCAGGCACCTTTCACCTATTAAGGAGTTTAATTTGGTGCTTTGCAAATGCATGTGACTACTTCATGCAAAAGAAGTTAAACCTAAATTATAGAATGCCTACATGAATTAGATGTAAATTAGTTTTTCTTGCAGACTTTTACTGTTGAAATGTAAGATGAGACATACTGGTTTTTGATCATGTTGGCCCTTGTTATATTTCTAAGAAATAGGGTTCTTGCTAAGGAAATTCAGAATATTTTGTCACCTCAGTCTAACAAGGCTCTATCTGAACTTTTAGATAACTAAAACTGATCTAATTCTATAACAATGATCTACTTAAAAGGCACTTCCAAGCAATGCACTGCTGTTAAATTGAACACTAGTAATGTAGGGCCAATTTGAAGTGAAAATGGTTAAAGTTAAACATAGAACTTTGAGAGGATGCTGAATTCTGAAGTTATTTCTATCTAATTAGTTTGACTTGCAGATAGAACCTTATTGAACTGATGCAATGATTCATCTACACCATGATCAGTGAGGATTCACTGATCATGCTGTTCCCTAAGCAAATAAGCATTAAATCCATTCAGAATACATTATAAGGTTCTGACTTGGTCCAACTGAGTCATCACTTCTGAATTTGATTGAAGTTGTGTGTGTGCCTGTCTTTTCTCTCTGAGGGTTTCCATTCCTTCATTAAAGAAGCAGACTTCTTCATTGCTTTTCTTTCTGATGTTTTCCTAGTGTTTCATGTTGCAAACCAGCGTGCACAGGTATCATATAGATTAGAAATAACAAATTAAGAGTTTGAGTGAATCCTTTTATAATGGTCTTCATTGGTTGCAACAGGACGTAACAAATCTTTCAATTCCCAGTTTTAACCCTTTCAATGCTGAGTTATTTTTGAGGTGGTTACTTTGCTACTAAATATTTAATGCTTTTACCTGTTTTAAGAGAAATGGTACTATGAATTTGACACATTCTCCTTAATAGTGAAGGTAATGAATTGATGTCAGATGAGCAACTGATTGACTAGATTTACTAACATTGCTCTATGGACTAAGAATGGTACATACTTGAAGTGGTGGATGGATATATCCATCAATGGCATTGAAAGGGACAAGATCAGGCTTAGGTAATTGCTTTTGGAGGTCTCTGGGATTGCCACTAATGTCTTGCTTCTTGAAAAGTTTGCCACTATTGGTAAAAAGGTGGAGCTAAAAGAACATGGCAATATCATACTTCACTTCATGCTTTCAAGTAATGAAGCCAATAATTACTCATTTTTTAACTCATTTTCAATGCTATCTATCCAAAATTAATGGGGATGCACCTTGGGCAGACCCACAAGCACACTTTGTTCCTGATCTTGGCCAATAGTCTCAAGCTCAGTAGGTGAAATATTGAGCCAATTGATGAAGCTTTGTGATATGCACCTTGCATGGAGCCTACTAACTAGTCTTACGCTTGTCATTTTGGACTGTGAGGCTCTTGGGAATCACTTGCAGGGCATGTAGCAGACATGTCCAAACCGATGGGATTAAGATCTATTAATCCTAAGAAGTATCCATTCAATCTGAAGGTTTGCATGGGTGACAGCACTCTGCATCCTTTCAAGGCTTGTAAACATGATAACCTGCTGCAAGAACCTTGTTTTGGCAGCTTGTATTTGTAATCTAATTATTTTTGGTCATTACACATAGTTTGTGGTCATAGGTTAGGGTTGGGAGGTAAATGCTCTTAAAAACCAAAAGTTTTGTTTCCTTATTTGATGATCACAGTCCATCAGAGATCTCACCAAAGTGTAGAAGCCCTGGAGATGTGGCTGTTGATCTTGTTTTTGTGTGATGCATTACTCAAGAACATTTCTTTGTTTTGCAAAAATAAATATTGCAGAGGCATTAGCTGAGTAGAGAGGATGATTCCTAACCCAGGAAAGGATGCACTGATACCTCTAGCAGCTGAATTTTTGGAAATTCAGCCCCACAAAAATTAATTTTGTAATGAAACTGATCTTTCTCTGGAGATGGGAAATCCTTTTTCATCTTCTGTTCACCTGGTAATTGTGCCTCTCACTTCATTTTTCTGAAACTAAAAAGGACTTTGAAGGACATAGATTCCAGTCAATGGAAGTGATCAATCAAACTGACAAAGATTTGATTTATGATGTGGTGACCATGAGCTCCTTTGAGCTTTCTTGACAGTGTGATAGACATCTATGATGAGATTGCAGAAAGACAGAAAGAAGTAGGGCCAGCAAAGTGAAATAAGAAATTTCTCAAATGTAGCACTGCAAACCTTCTGTTTGCTTGTGGTTCTAGCATGAAGATGGAGGAGGGGAAGGTGGTAATAATCAAGATCAGGGCACCAGTCCCATGCATGACTCAAGCAAAGATCGTACTGTTCAAATACCCGTGGAAACAAGTATGCGGTATATGACAAGTGAAGGTGAGTCTTGCATATTTCTTGACTCCTCCAAATCTGCCAAAGTGCCATATTTGCTGGGTGGCACAAGAAAAAAAGCATCTTGTTTGAGGCTTTTTTAAAAACTACCATAGAAATACTACATTTGACTCTTTTACTTTTATCACATGGAAAACCCTAAAATTTGTTTTGTTGAAGGTTTAAGGTCTCTTGGTTGCTTGGCTAAAGAGTAACAGTCATTGGAACTTCAAGACGAAAATCCTACTTTTCTATATATTGGGAGGCAGCAGTTTCAGCAGTATTCTACAGATGTGTCCCATCTCTTGCCAAAAAGTTACTTCCTATGTCTGCATTCTAATTGCAATGTTCTGGACTGTGCATTGTTATCATAGCACATATTTCAAAGGAAAAGTCAAGTATTAAAGGGGAATTTTTAAAAGAAGAGGTGGAAAGGGATGAGACTCCACAGTACAAAGTCCACAATCTGTTAGGAATCTCACTATTCTCTTCCTTCTCCAGTCTGATTACTCAAAATGCACCATCATATTCAAACTTTTTCCCCTCACCTGAGACCTAAAGACATTACACAATCAAGATATACTGTGATCAGGAAACAGCATTAAAAAAATTAACTTTTATGGAGCAAAGGGAGAAAGAAAAGTTTTTTGAGCAGAGCCTTGACTACATACACCCTCCTGTGAGAAAGAAGTTACATTTCATGACTGCATTTTGAATTACTTTTGCCTTTCATCCAGACAACCTAGACAATGTAAACTTTCAGGCGACAAATTTTTTAGTGTTTCCAATGTGATGCAAAAAAATTACTAACTTAGAATTTCCAGTCAGTTTCATTTTTTTTGTACTACTCAATATGTATACAGGGTGTTTCAGAATAGCCTCCCCAAATTTGGTTGCTCATAACTTCAGAATTTAAAATGATAGAAACATAAAACAAGCTTTAGCTTCTGAACTCAGTCAGAAGCAACTGTCTTAAAATATCCCCAGAACCAGTACCTAGCAGCAGTTAAGTCATGGAGGCCATTCAGTTGGTCCTGACTTGACTGTTGCATAGTATGGGATATGAGGATATTTAAAGGCAGACTTTACACATGACTAAACCCAGAAGCATAGAAAAATTACAGGCATAGCATGGAAGGAAAAATCAAGGCAGCACATATGAAAATGTTTAATCATACATTCAGTGATTTCCCCTAGCACTGACAAGAATGTCTTGATGTACACTGTGAACAGTTTGAAGGTGTTTAAAAATTATTTTATCCTGACATTATTGCTGCAAATAAAGAAAAGTCATTGGAACATGTTTTATGTTTCTATCATTTTAGTTCTAGAGGTATGAGCAACCAAATTTGAGGAGTATTCTGATGCACCCTGTATATCCATTGTTTGTTTTTTTGCATTTGGACTCAGTGAATTGAAATCTATTCAGTGACACTTTTACCAAAAGGGTTAAAAAGTACCCTTTTTTAGAATTAGTATGAGTCAAAGGTGATTCCAATCACCTTGACTTTGTCAGAGCCAGAGATTAGGCCTGTACCAATGTGGTCACACAAAATCAAAGGGGAGTTCCCTTTGCCTTGACCTGATTATGTGATCACTCCAAGGTCACACTGCATTTCCTTTGGCATACTTCTCCTTTCAATGCACTTTAGTGTGAAACAGGAGGGATGGAGATGGCAACAGAGGAAATAAGAGGAAAATGCTATGAAAAACCAATTTAGAAGAGAGTTTCCCCTGTCCAGCACCTCCCCCCCTTGGACATGAATTCCTCATACCCCCTCCCTACTGAAGCAGGTCCCAATGAGAAATTGTGGAGAGTGAAAATGGGATTGATTCTTCTGTTCTTTTTGCTTGGATCATTCCATTTTTAGAGAACAATATTAGTGGTGACATTCAACTTGACAAATATATCACTTCTCAATGGTTTTGCTACTTTGACTTTTTTCTGGTTTCTTGCAGTCCATGATAGCCTGACAGCACTGTACTACAGGGATCAATTAAGAAAGTAACCACTTGACACTTGTCCATTCAAAGGTGAAGAAAAAATTGAGAAGTTCTCTAGAAAAAGGGCTTAAGTGCCAATATGCCCTTTTTCCATATGTGTCCATGGGCTGCTTTAGGTGACTTGTCATAGGATAGGGTGGTCAGCAGGTAGTTAAGATGCATATTCAGCTAATGAGAAGCAGGTTTTCCTATGCTTACATTGCATGGAAGGCCAACTGCCTGACAACTTCAATATGGGTGCCTCCAGGAATATTTCATTAGCATCTGCATTGCTGAACTATTTTTGTGGAATAATTCCATTCTTTCAAACTGAATGTGAAAATGAGGAAGAAGCCAAACACTAGGAAAGGAGAAGAAAGAGGCAGAGTCACCCAAACCTCTGGAAGGATGCAAGAAGTTGACAATATCCATGCAACAGTTGAAGATTCAGATTATTAATAAATTAATAATGCATCACTGATGAGTAATTGGTGAATTAATCTTGTCCTGAATATTCACATTTTAATTGCCATTTTTTGGGGAAGAGTTGATTTGAAATCTTTAGATTATTGGTAAATTATGATTTTTAATTGGAAAGCAGTTGTTGAATGACTGGTTGGAAAAAGTTTGAGCAGCACAGATATGGAAAAAGGGCATATGTGCATAAACACTTTCTGCCTGCATCCCTGCAATGTGAGATAAATAAATTCGTTGAAACCCCAAGTTCAATTGGGAAGAGGTTGAAGATACATTTGGCTGAAAACTGAGTTTTGAACAGCTGCAGATTAGCCATGGGAAGTTTTTGCTGTTCATCTCGAATTGTGTCTTTTGCACATATGCCCTTACTCCCAGTATCATAATCTTGAGTTTTGATTCTATTCCTGAACCACTTCAGTCCTGCTTCCAATCTGGTTTCACTTCTGATCCCTCCAGAATCTGTAATTACATGTATCTAATGGCTGTTGCAATCCCCTCATAGGAATGGAGCAGCTAACCTTTCCACTCATTCTTTGTGGGATGTCTATGAACATGCTGATAATGCTGTTCTATAAAGCAGCAATGCTCTGTGGTTTTATGATTCAGGTTCTCCATTTTTTACATTGCCTTGCATAAAAAAAAATACAAGAGGGTGGGGTTGGGTAAAGCCAGGTTCACAGAGACTGTGTGCTGAGTTTTGGTCCATCCTGTATATATCAGGTAACATTCCTGCTGAATTATCACAAGGCATGTAATGCCATGCCAATGGTTTGCACATCAAGTCACTTAAAAATGATTCTTAGTCATACCTACATTGTTCCAGCATATAAGGAGACATACGGAGATCATCTTGTCTGGCAGTTGTATAGAAGGAATTTCAAAGGCCAGTTCCCTCCAAAGAGAACTCGTCAGACCTGCATTGTAAGTACAAGCCCATGGCATTCTCTCATTCCAATTCCAATGAATTTAATAAATTCTGCTATTGTCTATATCCACTGTAGCAAGCAATTAATTTCTTTTTTTTTGCATTTAGAGGAAGGGAGTGATCGCCACTGGCAATCCTTGTCCCATCTGCAGGGATGAGTATTTGGTGCTTGATTACCGCAACATCAAGCTGTTGCACCAATTCCTTTGTCCACACACAGGACAAATTCTTAGATATTCGTAAGCATTCACTACTTCAAGAACATGTTCTGAATTCCTATAACAGATCTTAAGTTACTTTGTTGTGTATATTTTCAGCACAACTGGAGTGTGCAGAAGGCAGCAACGGAATTTATTAGCTGCAATCTTGAAAGCAAGGGATTATGGATACCTGACTTTCCATGTTCCTTTTCGAGAATATAAGTATGAAGAGTACCTACAGGATCTAATGAAATAAAATAAACCAAAAGCTTTTCAATGATCTGAATAGTCTTTTTTCTTCAACATAAACCTCTCAGCACATGCATATTGATGCAAGCCATTGCAAAGACAAAATTTATCAAAGGAGAAACACAATTTAGGTATCACAAAGCTTCCCCAGTCAATGAGGTACAAGATGAAGGAATTTACACCTGTCACCAAACCTACAATCACCAGTCTTCATGAAAAACCTGCACACATCTTCACGCTCCCTGTTATTCTGACTGGGAGGACCTGCAGATAGAAAAAAAACACTAATTAAAGGTTGGTCAAACAAAGGATAAATTCTAGCACTAATCATACATTACTCTTCCAAAAAAAAATATGCAGCACACCTTCAATGAATGTTAGAGATAAGGGCTGTAAATTGATTCTCCCTTGAGAAACTAATGGCAGTTAAATTTCCTGCTATGCAATAGCATGAGTCCATCCACTTAGTCACAGGTTTTTGAAGACATGCAACTCATCTCAAATTGAAAGCTTGTGGGAAGGAACACATAATTGCATGGGTTAAGGTCTAGGTTGCATCAAGTGAAAAACCTGTTTCTCATAGTGGATGTTGACATGATGAAAATTTCAATCTACAGTTCAGTAAAATTATCCAAAAGCAAGGTGCTCTTGCTGAACCATTCACAACCCATAAGAGACCAAGACAGAAACTCTAACTGAGCAGTGTTGAACACCTTATGATTATTTTGTTATGTAGGGTTTAGATCAGGGGTGCCCAAAGAGGATGTTCACTGAGGTACTTTGTCTGCTGAATGCAGCCTGCAGGCCACAATCACTCCTGGTTTAAATTTTATTTTAAAATATCTCATAGAGCATACTGTGGTTAATTTTCCTGCAGGACCTTCAAGGCAGCTATGATGTTGCTATTTGTAAATTTGTTGCTGCCTCTCACATCATGCTGCAAAATGAAGTAGATAAGGCAATGGACTTGACATCAAGAGGAAATTAAAGTATCTTCAATGAACACAATTATCCGAGTGATAGGACATTCTTCTTCCTTAAAAAAGCCAAACATGAGCATCCCTAAATGGCCACATTAGTTTCTAGTTGAAATAGTTTTCTCAGTTTTCATGGCAATTAAAAAATATAGTATATTGATGGTCACAGCAATTACCATNTGGTTAATTTTCCTGCAGGACCTTCAAGGCAGCTATGATGTTGCTATTTGTAAATTTGTTGCTGCCTCTCACATCATGCTGCAAAATGAAGTAGATAAGGCAATGGACTTGACATCAAGAGGAAATTAAAGTATCTTCAATGAACACAATTATCCGAGTGATAGGACATTCTTCTTCCTTAAAAAAGCCAAACATGAGCATCCCTAAATGGCCACATTAGTTTCTAGTTGAAATAGTTTTCTCAGTTTTCATGGCAATTAAAAAATATAGTATATTGATGGTCACAGCAATTACCATTGCTGAAATACTGTTCACATGCTTGCAGTGCTGAAAATTTTCATTTTTTTCCTTGAATTTTCATTCAACACTTGAATGGTTATGTTAAAAAGGGATTTAACTTCTAAAGTCTTACTTAGACACTCCTTCCTATTGTTTGCCAGAACGGAACCTTTGGGTAGGAACCCTCGTCAGGGTACACAGCTCCTCCGTACCCAGGTGTACCAGGACCAGGTCCTCCATCAGGTGCGACTGGGTACATGGCCATCATGGGGGATGCAAGTGTATGTCCAGGTGGTCCAGGAAACATCATTGGAGGATAGCCACCTGCCATTGGAGGAGGCATCATTCCTGGAGGCACCATCATTCCTCCAAGTGCCATTGGGGGTGGTTGAGGAGCTGGTGGGAAGTCGCCAACTGCCACTGGCCTCCCATCAGAAGTCTGAAACATATTGCATTTTCTCTCTTTTCAACAAGCTTTGCATGTCATGGACCCAGGGGCTAGAGAACAATGATGCATCTATCATAAGCTATATATGAGCATGCATTTCATCACCTGTCCATGTCCACATAAGTACTTGTTTGCTGAAAGCCATATGGCAATTACTTAGAATGGGGTGGGTTAAATTTCAGTTGGCAATAGTGAAGCCAATCATGTATAACTAAATGCAAGATACATGTCACAATGGAGCCACCTGCCTGGCCTGGGATGAGAAACTTATCTCTATACTACTGAGAAATTCTTTCTTTGATGCAAAGAAATCTCCTAAAAGGTGACAAGTTTTCTAATAGAATCCTTTGTGATCACCTGATCCAAAGGAAGAACCTCTCAATGGAGGCAAGACTATGAGTCACATGAAGTAGAACTATACACAGAAATGTTGGTCCCTGTTTTCATCGTGCATGCGCAACCCCATCATAATGCTCAGTTGCTGCCACACCATAGTTAAGCCATGAAGATGTAGGCTCAGAGACTGTGCTCTCCACAACCCATGTAACAATTACTTGCCTCTTACAATGTTGACATCCAGGAAGCTAGTGTGGCAGAGCAGATACAGAGAGAGAGATATTATGCAATGACTACATGCTGGGCCAACAAAGGTGCAAGAGTAAGAATGACAAGGTGCATGTATGGCAAAGATCAGACATGCTGAATGCATGGCTCACTGGCAAAAACAGTGGACCACAGCATATAAAGCAGAACCCATACCCACTTACACCTCTATGACATCAGTACCAGTTCTTGGACCAGGTAAAATGATGTAGTGCCAAGCAAGACTGCTGGCATTTGACTTCTGAAAAGTTCTAAATGGCTGAAAAAATACATACCCGCCATTCTCCCCCTTTTGGGATAGCTCTTGACTGTTGTGCTGGTTTAGGAGCAAAGCCTTTCTGTGCAGGCCATGGATGATTGGTGAAATCCTTTTCCTCAGCTGTGGAATCTTCCAGGGGGATGATCCTGGGATCTTTCGTCTCCTGGTACTCTCTGTCTGGTTCACTTGGACTGTCTTGAATCCTAGAGATCAAAAGACACTCATGACTCAACATAAATGATAAACATAGTTATAAGGGAGATTGATTTGAGCTCAATGGCTTAAGTGTGTAGAATATCAACAAGATAAAAACTTGACAAAAACCTCTGCTTTCATGAGATCCATAGGCATAGGTTGTGACAGCTCATGGTTTAAGGCAATCAATAGCAATACTTAACTCCAACCTAGGCACCACATACATAGGAAGAGCCTAGCACAAGTGCACATGGAACAAGCAGCAGTCATGCCATCACCCGCCTTCTGGATCTTCCCCATTCAACCATGCACAAGGTTCTAAGGCAAACTCTACAAATGTTTCCGTACAAGCTGAAACATGTCCAGACGTTTCTTCGTTCCATGTGCACTTGTACTCCGCTCTTTGTCAATTGCACCTCTGATTTCAGTGACAACATCTACAGGGGTTCATATGGCCTGCCTCCATGCAGCTTGTAGCAAACACAACCCGTCCCCTTGAACTTGTCAGCCAAATTCATCAGAGCTTGTCTCGAGCAGGGCCCCAAATGTAGGTTGTGTGCTGTGCAGTATTTCCATGAGGCAACAACAGCATTACACTTGTTGGTGTAGAAAAACTTTATAAACTCACTTCTCTGCTTCTTTGTTAAAGTCACAACTTTTCTATCTATGACTGAAAATTATTTCATACTTTCAGTAGTGGTTCAATACTACTCCCAAGAGTGCAAATTGGGAAAAAACATAAAAGTAAAAAAATTTTGCAAAACAGTTTCAAATAAAATCCCATGACCCCCTGAGTTTCCCCCTAAAATTTCACTGTCCTATGCCTTTCCATTCTGGAGATATTGAACTTCAAAAGAATAAGTTTTTTTATGGACACCCTGTATTTCTGAATGTGTGTGTCTGTCTGTCCCTTATGCACAGCCATGTCTCTTCCCAGTCTGACCAAACTTTGCATGGCTTCTTCATTTGGTTCAGGGATGGTCATAGGCTAGGTGACATTTCAAAATTCAGACCCCCCAGCATACCTTATTTAGTACATACAGTATTTAGTACTTATTTGGCCAATTCACTACTACAGACTCCCCAAAGGAGTCAAAATTTTTGGGGGTTAGTACAAAGTTGTAGAGGAACCGGACCCCATGTTACTAAATAAAATTTCAGTTGCTGATAAAAACTAAAAATTCCTCCTATTTAAGAATATAACTCAGCTGTTACCACCTGTAAGGGGAATGAAAGAAAAGAACTAACAGTTGGAAATATGTGGCAGGAGGAACAGACAACTCCCTGGCTCTCTGTACACCCTTCTCTGCTGACTTGGATCCTGGTGGGGCAGGAGGTGCTGGGCAGTCAAGGGGTCTGAGCTGACCCCACACTATCTGCTCTTCCATGGTATCTCCCATTGCTGCACAGGATAAATAATCAGGCTACTAAATAGTTGAAATATCTGAGTGATTTTCTCAGGAAAGAAAATCATATGGAAGATGGATTAGTACACCTAGGTGAATTTTTGTCTATTCACAAAGATAGTTGCATACTCATACTCACCCTGTTTCCGAGCCTTCATAAAGGCCTTCTTCTCATTGTCTCTCTCTCTTTGCATCAAATCTCCAAACGTTTTCATTCTGTTTACATTCACTGGAAGAGGGAACAAGTAACATAAAGGATAAGGAATGATAAGTTCTTATGAATCTTTAGCTCCATTGGCTCACCTCTTTCTGTCTCATCCATCTCAAAGATGAAAACTTCCTTGAGAGAAGCTTCCTCAGCCCAAGAGACCTTCTTCTTCACCTTTTCAGAAGATCCTCCAGCAGAAGCCAGGACTGATTTCAGCTTGAATAACCTGTCACCTTGTTCTGATTTCACAAGATCCACCTTCCTATCTGTTGCTACAGAGTGGTTCTCCCCCCCAGGTTCATCCTTGGGTCCCTCTGCAGCTGTTTGATCCTCCTCAAGATGGTTCTCTTCCTTAACCTTCACCTTCAGCTCCTCCACTTCCTCCTCTTCCTCCTCCTCCTCCTGGTCCATTTCCTCTTCCTCATGGTCTTTTGACTCAGCAATGCCTGCAAATGATGGAATACCTGAATACATGGCAATTCAAATAGTTTCAACATGGAACATGAAGATGAATGTTTACTCCACAATGAGAGATATATATAGGGTGTTTCAAAAAAGACGCTCCACTCATTTTCAATGGGGGATAGGTAACACTCATTCCCATAGGGAAAAAAATCAGACCAGGCTTTATCCTGGCTCCTGCCTATTTTCTTAAAGGTGGAACATCTTGAGAATGAAGCAGAGAAGGCTTAATCTGACAAACTATTTCATGTAGGCTGTGAGTCATTGATAAAATGTGGGATCTGCCTTTTGGTGTCAGATTCACTCCAAAGAATAAGGATTGGTTAGAATAATAACAATTTTACTTGAGATTCTGATGTGAGGGTACAAACATTCAAATCTTTCCTCACATTACTCTTCCCTTCAGATGCTAGACTGAACATGCATTGAAGATTGCAAAACCATTACTAAATTTGAACTATTAGAGCACTGCACCTAGCACTTCCTGATCCTTCCAACGTACCTGCTCAGCCTACAATTCTAGGAGCACAGAATTAAAAAACACATGACTTAATGGTTACTTTACCTTCTGGTTACTGCAGAAGAGTTCTAAGAAAAATAAGAATTGATTTTGATTCTGAATCAAATTATTTCATTAAATTAAAAATTAGGAAGGTACATTTTGAGTTTGATTAATTTCCATAGACTGATCCTGAGCAGTATCTTAATTATCCTAATTCATCATTTTTATCAAAAATACCTGAAAATTAAATTTTTTAATTCTGATTCTGCCATTTTAAAGGAATAGTCATTTGGATCAAATGAAAATAGAAAAAGTCAGATTTACTTTTTATGGGTTTTAATTTTTTTGAGAAAATCCCTAAGAAAATAGTCATTTCCTCATAGAAAAAGGATGGAGCATCTTTTTTGAAACACCCTATATAGAAAATAAAGAATTGGATGTATAGCAAAGCCAAGAAAATAAAAACAATTTTTTCTACCCTCACAGGCTTGATATGATTTGGCAATAAGTCAATTAAATGTCAAGTTGATAATACCAATCCTTTCCATGCCACTTTTCATAAGTTTATGAACCTTAGAAAATATCCATAGCAGCAATTCCACCCAGGAAGCATAATGAACAACATACTGTGCAAGAGTATTTAAATAAAAGATAAAGATACCTGCATGTATCTGTCAAAACATATTTTTTGAAAGCTCAAAAAACTTGAAAACCATGTTCATGATTCAATTTGATAACTACATCTGCAAGAACTATGAGTATCAAACATGAAATTATCAGTGCTTTGTTGCATAGCAATATACAGGGTGATTCATCAGTTTGTTACAGCAATACTTACATTTATAGGGAGAGAGTTGATCACCCCATAAGGAAACCAATTACACAACTGAAAAGAGCAACATTTTTCCCTACAGAAAATTGGTTTCAATTCCTGAGATGCTCAATTGCAGAATTGCAAAATTCAGAAAGGACATGTTCTTTGAAGACTGCATTATAACAGATGAGTGTATTTGTTTCTGGATTCTGGATTTCCTGACCAATGGATAGATCAACATGGTCCTTAAGGTCACTTGATTTGACTCCCTTGGACTTCTTCTTTAGGAGAATGTTAAAGGAAGATGGAAGAAATCCAAAAGACATCAGGAACTTGAAGGAAGGATACTGAAGCCAGCACCATTCCCACAGTCATACTTAAAAGTGTGTCAGTTGTATAGATGCCAAGAGATGCCAGTCATACATGGCTTGGAAGTAAAAATCACATGGCCAGCAATGAAAAAAGTCCCTCTTCTTACCAGGGAAATTTATTTTGCTATGGAATTAGTGCTTCTCTCTCTGTAAGCATAAATATAGCACTAACAAACTTGAGCACTGTAATATATACCACATTTAATAGTTCCTCCCTTTGGTACTCAATAATATAACTAATGCACTCACAGGATGTATCAGTTTCAGGAACTTCTTCTTCTTCCATTGCATCACTTGTTTTCTCAGTTTCTTCTCCATTATCTTTCTCTAATGTATCCTGATAAAACTGGAAGGAAAGACTCCCATGAAACATTGTCTTCCTGATGGTTCATTCCAAACCACTAAATCATTATTTAAAAAAAGAAAGGACCATACCTTGAATGATGGTTTGGTAACAGTAGGGGGTGGAGTTTCAGCACTGCTGCTAAGTTTTCTTCTTCTCTTCTTGGGTAATGAAGTCCCAGCAGCTTCCAATGCCTCCATGAAGGTGGCACTCTCCAGAATCTTTGCAACTGAAGAAAGACACAAAAGTATGGCTCAGATGCTAGATTATGCAAATCATCAAGTATTGTATTATTGGTTCCTAGGAAATATGTGACTGGCCATCTAACATTCACAAGGAGTCCATGACTGGGATGCAACAGACCACCTGTGAAGAGGAATGGGCTCACCTGTTGTACATGAAGTTATTCCTTGGTGGTCGTTTACCCAGACACTCTAAATACTTACCTCAGCATGGAGAACGAACCTCCTCCAGTAAGAACATCATGAACAGGTCATTTTACACATGCATATTATTAAGGCATAAAACAAACCATGTGCTCTCCCTCCTTCGCTGAATTGTTCTAAAAAAGCTTTTCTTCCATAGTGTACCACAGTCCTGGCAAGGGGATCCGCTATTCACCGTTTTAAGTTCCAAGTGCAGTCTCAAAAAAAAGGGGTAATATTTGAGGGAATACTCGGCGTGCATTAAAACAACGTAAAAAAAAAAAAAAACCCTCCAGGAAAACTTAAGGGCGCATAGGCTGGTCAAGCACGTTCTAATAATGAATTTTCATTCATTTGGTGGATTATCACTCTTGCAATTAATCAATCAATGCCTGTTGGTAACATTTTATATATTTCTCGTTTTCAATTTACTAATCCAAAAATGCCAACATTACGTGCTCCGAATTGTTTTTTGTCATTTTCCTTTTAAAAAAATCATCGTTTCCAGCTGGGCGTGAGTGGAGCGAGTGTGAAGCTTGCGCGAGAAAGCGTCTTATTGAGCATGCCGGGTGGAAGGCTCAGCCAGCGACCGTGTCAAGGGCGCATCTGTGGTATGTGCCAGGCAGACCCAACTATCCCGCTGAGATCGTTCATTGGCTGTAGATGCGCTTGCGCTCCTCTCCTCTCCTCCTCCCTCTGATTGCAGCTCCAGGTTCTTCCTTCGAAGCAGCTTCTCGTCTCTTGTGGAATTCGAGCCGAGACTGTGTCCATCTTCCTCTTTTAGTGTCATACGTTCTAAATGGTTCAGCTTATCATTGGATACTTAGCAGGTCAAAACAAAAACCTATTGTGGAATTCACGACTAAAATTCGTGTCTTCAATGCCTTTATTTGGGATTCACACAAGTGATTCGTCCCGCTATGTTCCTATGAAATCGGGAGTACTCCATGCGGGAAAAAGGGAAACCAGCTTTAGAGCGAGGCACGGCTCGCTGAAATGAAAGCGTCATGCACGGGGCAGTCTCCCCTACCCTACCCTCCCCCCCCCCCCCCCCCCCCCCCCCCCTCCCTTTCCCCCCCTCAATGTCGTCTAAGTAATGTCCTGATAATAGACGAATTAAATCCATTCCCACGGAAGACAAAGCTCACGATTCCCTTACTCCAATTCTGATCAGCTTTCTGTGGAAGATGATCGCACGGGCCGAAACCGTGAGAAAACGCAGTGGTAGAGTATTGCTTCACTCCAGATGCACATCATTCTGATTCAAAGGGATTTCCAGCTGCGTTGTTCTCGAGCATGGATTTCTGATTGTTCCAACAATGGTTTCATTAATGAAAACTAAAATATTTTTGCCTGAATCATCTTTGAAATAGAAGCATAATATCATCTCCCTTGGAACCATTCTACCGTAAGAAGAGAAAGGGGTAAGGCGTAGCCCTTGTCTCTTGAATGCGGAAGCAGCCGTTCCTTGGCACCCCTCCAAGACCCATCGCTCCATAGGGGGTAACGGAACTTTTTAATAATGGAGATCCGGCGCTAATCCCATACGGAAGAACTCCTCCACCGCAAATTCTCAGCACCTGAAGAACAGAGCAAAGTCGGAGAACCTGTTCATGATGCTTCAGTGCGAAGCAGAATGAATGACGGTGGAAGGGAAGACGTGGTTCGGTCCTCTTCCACGTTTGGAACATCTCATCAGAGCGTCGCCTGAGCAATATATTTCGCCCCGAACCTTTTTTTTTTTGTCGCATTGTGAAATTCTACCCTGGGAATTGAAAGAAAATTCGCGTACATATTAACATTTACATTTCCCCATTTAAAGGGAGACGCAAAGAAAAATTAGCAACTCTAAACTTTGAGGTGCTAGTGGAGAGATCCACTAGAATGATCATTATGAGACTTCGCAACGGAAAATGTTCAGTATGGATGGGTCATCTAAATAAAGACAATCTCTGACAGTCTTGGAAACAGATATAGTTTGTCAAAAACTACGTTTTCTTCATGTCGCCCCCCCCCCCCCCCGGAGAAAATTTTTAATTAATTAATTTCAAATAACTAAATTAATACTAAATACATACTTTCGTCGCAAATGCTTCCCCCACCCCCACCCCCCCTTAAGCACAGAATGAATTAGCATCTTCATTTCGGCAGAGGCAGCCTTCCGCCGACAAACCCACTGGGTCGTGACACTTGATTGTCGAGTAGTAGTAGTTCGCGTAACGTTGACACACGGGACTATTTTCTTGTCACGATCCAGTCCGGGCAGCCCCACATTCGCAAAAATGAACGGTGCACTTTGAAATTATTTAAATGATTTATATAGTGATTATTACCAGTGACTGACATAACCGAAGAGGATCGGACAGGTCGTATGTGGAATATAAGATAAGTTGATACAAAATAAAGAACAGTGGTTTACGCAGAGCTAGCACAACAGAGACCTAACTTTCCTGGGTGTCTCCAACAGTGAAAACAGTTAAAAGTGGAAATGGGACGCTTTTCCAGTTACTGCACTTGCCATGACAAGAATAGATTCATTATTAATTTTTCAATGAGCACATCAAATGTGTACAAGAATCGTAAAAGCTACCCATCAGTCTCAATTAGCACTTAAAGATATCGGATATAATAATTATATCCGATACCTTGGGGGGGGGCTTCAAGCCCCCCCGTCGCTACGCCACTGCACCGGACGATAAAAGACAACGAGAATAGGAAGTTCTCTATCACTCCATGGTTCTACCTGTTCTAGAGATATCCGCATGCCTTGCCTTTCTGGAATATTGCTCCTTTTCGCCTCTACAATCCTCTTCATCTCGTGTTACGCTGTTTACTGTCGTTTTTCCTTTAGGCATTACACCGCTTGTCTCCACGACGGGTACAAAAAGTAAACTCGCAAGAATTCCTCTTTGTGTTAAGTACACTAGGGTTAAGTTCAACACCAGAGTCTCAAAAGTAATTGAGAAATTACTTCGGGGGTACCTTCATTACGGCTATCACAAACCACCTATAAAGTGCTTTCTATTTCGTTATGCGAATCATCATTCTTTCATGATTGCCATTCTTGTCTTATTGCTTGCTTTGTCGCATCATCTGGGCTCATGGACCTGTCAGGACCGTTAGCTGGTCCTGACGTCAGTGACTCCACACGGTGGGCAAAATAAATTCCAAAAATTGATGGCTACATCCATAATAAAATGCGCTCATGCAATTTCGAGAACAAATATTACTACCCTGATCGAGTGCCATTCATTTAAATGAAATGCAACCATTTATTTAGGCTATTTTCCCCACTGCTCGAGGTAAAAATAAATAAAGTCGCGTTGAAGCTAGCATTATTTTTCTTCACAAACTGGGCTAAACATCCTTCGAACAGAGGCTCGGGGAGATCGAACAATGGTGGATTAGGCTGAAAGTAATTGTCGAAGCAGTAGAGGGCATATTGAACATTGCCTTCGAAAATTATGGGTAGTTTCAATCCTAACTTTATTTATGGTTGTTGCTATCTACTCTTTATAAGAACTCTTATTTGAAAGAATAAGAAATAACGGTATTTGCCTTTGTTTTTTAACGTAATAATGCGTGCGCAACTGTTGTTTTTTTTACTTCAAGCAATAACAAAATTGTGCAATATTTGGCTATTCCTTGAAAGAAATGTTATTAGCCTATAAAGAGTTACTACCTATCCTCCAAATTACAACACGAGCACGTCTTTATTTTGGGTGCAACGATGAAACAAGCATTTCTTGGCCCACCTTGTAAATTAGCAATGTGCGTCGGGAAATGGCCAATAGACGCGATGAATTTCTGTGAATAATCCCATCTTTATATTTGTTTAACCGAGATAAAATGTTAAACTCAGAAAACAGACGAGATGTGGCTACCATGTGTTTGCTTGCTTATTTAATATGCCATACTATCTTTTAATACTTTAAATGAAAGATGCCGAAAGTTGTGGTGGCTGTCACCCCTAACACGCGAGGCCTACAATGCTATGCCATTCTGGGCCATAAAAACTTTGGTATGATATTAAAAAAAAAAATTAGCTGGGCGGCAACACTTTCGAACTTCTCGAGATTCGTTTGAAAATGCTTAATGTTTGGTTTGAACCGAACTGCTTCATATCTTTATGTAGAAATTTTCAAATTTCCGCCTATTAGACGGCCGCTAGTTTCTGTTTAAATTGATGGTCAAATTGCAACTTTGCCACTTCAAATGCAATGGCATTCGCAAAACTCCCAATTTCCAAAGAATAGGATTCAGAGTTCAACCATCAAGATATTCAATTGGATGCTCAATCCACCGAGTGCATCCAATTTTTTGCAAAAACTATAATTGTTTCAACCACCATAAAATCATGCGAAACATATGCAAAACACGCTGCAACAATTGGATTCCGCTTTTCGATAGCGCTTTTTCAAAACCAAATCGTGAAGTGGACTTCGCGGTTCGAACAAAATGAACTAGCGGGCCGGGTCCGGCCCACGGGCCGCCAGTTTGATACCCCTGCTCTAGATAGTGTGTATGACCTAGGGTTGGCTGTGAGATGTCGGATGAGAGTTTCCACAGATTCATTGTTGTAAGGATCACACTTCCCGTCAGCAGTGTATCAATAAAAACTAACTTTAAAAATTGGATTACAGATGAAACTTAATGTAATTCCATTGTATGAAATTCATCGGGCGTACCAACTATAAATACAAACGTAACGAATTTACGCTAAATCAAGTTAAAATTCGACCGTTGCGCGTTGCTTAACCCAGGACTTTGAGCTACTGTCTAACTTTTCTATGGTCTTTAACTGTCCAACCCTTTTCCTCTGGATTCTGGCGATGTCAGAAGCACGTAGTGGGCTGAGAACGGTCTAGCTGAGCATATTGCTTACCGTTAGACTAGAAAACTGACGAGGACGTGATTCACGTAACCTTCCCAAAATTGTCAGAAACTAATTCTGCTCTTTTTTTTTCTTTTTTAGTCCTCCTTGTCCAATACAGGCTAACATTCGCTTTTTAAGGCGTCCCCGTGACAAGAGAGTCCACAAAGACCAGGAATTTATTAGGACTTATAAAACCCCTATTCCCCAGCAAATGGAGTCAGATTGGTCTTCGCTAGACCGCAAAATCAACCTATGAAGGTGGGGTGATATGTAAATCTCAGGCTCCGTTTACACGGTCCTTTTAGTAGATACCGTCATAGTACGCATTACACAAAAAGTTACCACAGACGAAGTCTGAGGGCAAACGTTAAATACCGAGAATAAACGGGATAAGTTACAAGTGCGTATTCTGTTGTACCTCACTACGCGTTTAAACCTGTCCGTTACAGATGTTGACGTCGATGTAACCTTCCACGGTGCCCTATGACAAATACACGAAGTTGTAACTGCATGCCAACAGAAAGCAAAATTTATTGACACTGGTCCTGGCGGTGTCGAAATAAAGTCGGAATTCATTCGGAAATTAACAGTAAGGCCCTTTTGGCTACTGAGGGACTTATAAGTGAGGTGGCTTTAAGTCCCTTAGCAGCTAAGTCTTACTATAACGGATCCCAAGCTATGCGATAAATCCGCTAATTTTTCAACTTTTTCCCGCCACGAATTAGACTTTTTTAACTAATTAAGGTACGGGAGTTTACGGAAGCATCACGTCAGTCCACGAAAATTGAGGAAATAACCTACAGCTAAACCGCCTGGAAGGGTTCCTTGCTCATACCGTTCGTTATTCCAGGTTCAAGCATCGCTGAGTTCTCTATCGCGTTCGTAAAGTCTGTGGTTAGCTTTTACGGAAGCAGTCGAAACAGCAGAAGTAAAAGTAGCAGGTCGCAAAAGGTTGAGTGCAGATCCAGACACAATAACGGCAAGATTTATCGAGTACCTGTAAGTAGGAGAATGCGCGTTGGCTCTTTCATCACAAGGTCATTCAATCACCGTTAAGCTGTCGACTTTAAGCTTCAAGTTATAGGCTTTTCCGACGCCCTTACTTAAATTGAAGAAATTGGATTCCCTTGAAATAAAAAAAAAGCGAGTAATGAAATATGGAAGAAAGATACTCTCTCCGCACAATAGAAGTTAAAACACGTTCAAGCAGATCACGTCAGTTGACCACAAGGCTTAGCAAAGTCGAAGTAACTATAATTAGCGATCACTTAAATTGGTTTTGGAAAGCCAAAATAGGCTTGAATGTATATAGCGGAGGCTGAGAGGTAACTTGATTGCATTCAAGCAGTTTTAAGTCATGATGGTATCACCAGGTATCGCCGCAAGCTAGATATGCTTACTTGACATGGAGACCGTTTTAGTGTTACACATTCGCGTACGGACAATCAAGCACTGCTGTTTTGAGAAAAGTTTCCTTGGTCGCGACGTCTACTTGAGAAGCGAACAAACCTATCCCGTTCAGGTGGTTTAACTGCGAAAAAGGTGGCGGCAACCAGTGAAGGCATGAGAGAATACGGCCCTGTTACCTCGGTGGGCATCGTTACCCGAGTCTTGATTTATTAACGATTGTAAGCAATGAAATTGAAGTTCATAGCTGCCGCAAATTTGGAAGTTAGAATTTACCATGTCACATTCCACTAAACAAGTCGATGGGCAGGGAAGTGAAGCCGGCCGGTATAAATCACTCATGCCGAAGGCAACTACCTGGACAACGTTCACCCCTCTCTATAATAACCGATAGTCCGTTCTCCCTTATTGTGTCAAGGTGGAGGGGGGTCGGGTTGTTTTGACCACAACTCATTTTTTGTTTATGTGTACTGATTGACTAAAAACAGTCTGAAAATTACTAATTGTTGGTATGCATATATTGATAGCTGGAAGGTTACATACGTATATTCGTTTGATGTTATTAGAACCGAATATTTTTAAAAAAAAAGCAAGAATTTAAAAAATATATGCCTTTTTTGTTGTGGGTTACCTTGGCCAAGTAAAGGTTAGAGAAAAAGTGACACCAAGGTGACATTCGCTGGTAAAACAGTATCATCTTTCCATTTCTTTCGGGAAACGCAAAATCGTTCGTGTCTGCTTGAATGTGACTTAACTTTTTATAGTAGGGACAGCCCCTCTCTACCATCCATCGTAATCAGTTAACCGCGATCAACTTAATTGCAATTTTTTATTTCTCTCGTGCAGACATGGTATTCGGACACTGCTGACGATCGCAGAGCTTCTTGTAATTCCATTCCGAAAAAATATGGGAAACATAAAACTGCCGGTGAGGGAGAGAAGGAGAGGGGAGATGAGGAAATGCCATTACTTCACGAGAAGAAACGAAAGATCTGCAAGCTTCAAAAAAAAATTCATAGGCCTACACTTGGCAAGGAATAACGGAATAACTGCAGCAATCTGGAGTTCTGCCTTCTGTACCTCTCTCTCTCTCTGCACGGAGAGCCTTCAAACATACCTCTGTGAACAGAGGTCTGTGAGACCTTTGTCCTGGATGGTGTTCGAGGTTATTCAGGAAGAAATTGTGTGAAGGTGATAATGGTCAAACACGCAAGACGGCAGATGCACTGGAACGACATGAAACACGCTCCAGCTTCCAAAGACAATGCCTGACGACAGAAGCAGCTTGACAGGAAGTCATCTTCACTACATTCTCCTGCCTCGTGATTTTGGCGTTTGATGAGCTTCTTTGTAATGAAACTTGGTAGTATAAAAGGGTTCGTTCTTGTACTTGCTGTGCAGGTAGGACCATTACCATTAGCGGCAGCAGTTCGCAAATGGCTCCAGGAGACTTCGCACACCAGTCTTGTCAAGGCTACGTATGCACTTTGATGGTAAGCGCAGTGAACTAGGAAAAGAGAAAGTTCGAAACAGAATTAAATAAAGTAACTACATCAGTCAACACTTCTTACAGCATCGTTTTTTCTACTTCATTAAGTCAGATGTGCCTCAAGGATGAGTTTAGGATGATATTGGTGCTGAAACTTCTATCTAAAGTCAAGCTTGTTCATTTCAAGTAACATTAATTACGGACTCTTACCTTCAAGCAATTGCAGAAGCCTTCATGAAACCATCCAAGTCGATGCAGGCAGCCGAGAATGAACGGTTCATCATCCCTTCATTGCAAGACCATCAGATGGGAATTCCAGACACGTGTCACCAAGTCTGCTGTCACATGGTCCTTTCTTCAAATTCACATCTCATGCTTGTTCCACGTACCCAAAATACGTGCATAGCCAACAACATGGATTACAGTGTGCCAGATGTCAAGATTCACGTGTGGGAATGTTGATGTCAAAAAGAGTGCAACTTGTAACAACGTAGAGCCTTAAATTATCTGGAGAATCCACATCCCCCTTCCAGTGCAGATATCTTTTGAGTTCACCAATAATTTTATACACAGGAGCCATACAAAGTTACAAGAAAATTGAAGTTTTCAATGGGAAAAAAAAGCTTGCTTGCTCATAACCAACTTCTAAATTCAACAGCCAACCAATAATTAATCTGTCCCAACAAATTACCCCAGTGCCAACCACCTAGCACTGGTGACCTTGTGGTCTCTATGCGAGACCACGAGGCTAAGAGACTCAGTGTTCTCTCAGCGTCGGTCGAACAAACGTTGCAGATCTCGAGCTTTTAACTTTGAAATGTACTTTTTTGAAATGAAGTAAAGAAGTGCTATATTGAGAATTTTCTTGAATTTCGTATGATCTAAGCTGCATTGCAATCTAACCTCTCAGTCATGAGTTCTTACCGATCAAAAGCTGGCAGGACTTTTGACTCACCCTGTACTAGACTCGGTGCCACAGAAAACGCGGAAATTTACGTTACACCCCATGCATGTCACCCGTGGCCAGGCTTGTAAAAGTTTAATTGTGGAGATACGGCACATTTGGCGGGGGGATTAATTGCTGACTAGGATGGACTGAGTTGGGTTGAAACCCAAATTAATAGTACCTACATCTCAAAAGATGTCATGCTGCAGCTACCATGCTATAAAAATGGCTGGATAAAATTGAGCAGTGGATGTAGAAAAGTACTTCCTGCGCATAATTTTGTTTCAACCGACAAATGCAGATAGTAAAGAAAGTAATTTGAATTTTTTTTTTCAAAGGAACTTTGATCCATTATTAGCTGCTATTTAGAGTAACTGTAACTAGTTTCTTTTCAAAAGTAACTAAGCCATCCCTATTCATCAGGTTTTGCCTGAGAATGTACTGGTAGGGGTAGGGCTCAGTTTTAGAGCATAGATAATGCCCCCACAATGTCAAATTAATGACCTTCGAAAATACTTCTCCTTATGAGCTTTATTCAGCATTACTGAAAAAATATGCAACAAGTATATGCAAAATGATTGCCATGTAGAAATTTGCATATTGGCAGTATCTTTGGGACATGTTAATGCGTAACATTAGTATTCCTGAAGGTTCCTGAGGTAATATAAGACTTCAGAAAGTTGTCCTTACACTGTACTAGTAACAGTGAGTATACTTTCATCATACTGAAGAGTGTGGCATCTTATATTTTCCTCATCAAGATTCTGTTTTCAACATATATTCATGTGTACTTTTTAATATTAGAAATAAAAGTCTTCCTTTTAAAATCATCTTTATTAAATCACATGCTCACCTACCTGGAAGGATCTTGATCATCCCTCATTTCCATCACTTCCTTCATTGCAGTTAATAAGTGTGAGCAAGGAAAAATGAACCATCTTAAGGAAATTCTACACAAGGTAACAATGGAGAAATATATATTTACTCCATCAGAAAAAAATTGTCACTCACCTGGTATTCACCACTTGGGACTCTGTATTGGGCCATTTACTCACCTGAGCTATTCCTCTTCATCAACGAAAATGGACTCCTTGTGAATATTCAAATAGAATTTTGAAGACAAAATCCATCAATTTGTTAGAATAAAAGACTGCCTGGAAAAAACTTTGCACTATGTTGAACAGAGATTTCATCTCTATTGAATAACAATAATTCCAGCAACTAAGAAAAATGTAAAAATGTTTCTTGATACATGATAATAATAAACAGATGGTTTGGGAAAGTACCATGAGCATCTACAGGGTGTATGATAAGTAACTATTTACTTTGAAAATTTCATAACTCAAGAAGATACAGAGGAATAACTATTTTTTTTACATAAAAAATTTTTTGGGAGCTCCTCCCCCCATAAATCCTAAAGATTCTTCATACAATGAACTAAACAATGCTTGCAATCACAAATACGTAGAAACAGCTGAATATGATAGAATAAATTCAAAAATTGTAAGATAACTGCTCCTTGAAAAGCATCAGACTTGTGGGATACCTCAGCACAATTAAAGCAGCAGAGACAAAGCAGTTGTCATATCTTAAAGTAAAAAGAAGCATGGTTTCAATTAAATCTTAAGTGCATTGTTCTACAGCATCCATCCACTGGGATGAACACAAAATCTGGATAGGGTGCATATGTTCTCTTCTCCTTTATCATTCAGGAGATTCTTGACAAGAGATTTGGAGGAGAAGTTTAAATTGCTGAAAGGTTTTAGTAGTATGAATTGGAGTAATTCTCTACCATCCATGACCTCTTTCACTACCATGGAAACCCCATGCAGTTAAATAAAAAGGGTAAAGGAAAAAAGGGTCAGGAATTATCCATTCATAGGAATATATATTGTTGCATGAAATCTACAGCCAATGACAGTAAGAATTGTGACTAAACATTGTTCAATGAATCAAATGGCAAAGCATTCCTATACCAAGACCATTAGAAGTTGAAAATATGCATACCCAAAACTTCTCATGTGTGCTGTCACCATATTTAACTTGTGAAAAAAAATTAATAAGGGTAAGTTTCAAAGTTTGGACATATCCACTTTTTTTGTTCTTAAATTATTCTCAAACTATTATTGCTTGCTTATTGATGAAATTTCTTGCTGGTAGGAAGGAATATTCTGGAGTTAGCAGAGAATAAGGTATGCAGAACACATGATGCAAGTCCAATTTTTTTCTCCAAGTATTGTAGGTTAATTACTTGAACATTTTTTAGACTTGCATTACTTGTGCTCTACACACCTATATTATAAATGAAGCCTCTTGTGCAAAAAATTGTAAAAGTAATAAATCAAGCCTTGTTATGGTTCCATTATTAGCCTAACAGGCTCAACAGTACTCAAATACTAGCTGACTTTGTGGACGGATGTGCCTTGATCCTCCCAAGATATATGAAACTCCACATTAAGATGAAATTGACTTCAGTTGTAAAAATTCACCTAGAATGCCAGACCTCATCCATCTTTCACAATTTAGGTTTTTACATGCTGATAATTTGCACTGGATAATAAGTCAGAGAGAGATTTCCAACACAGGGACGTGAACTCTCCCAAGTTTTTTAGATTCAGTGCCCATATATGCAACCTTAAAATGCAAAAGGGATGGGTAAGTCCACATTCTTCAATACCTTCAAGAGCATGTTTCTACTACAATCACTCACAGCTGGCACAGAACTAAGTTAATATATTGACATTCTAATTCCAAGGGCTTAGACCTCAAGAGATCCTACAATATGCTGTACCTTCAGGGTACAAGTTCATCTTGTCTGAAAAGATGAAACAGGGTTCCAAGTACTCATACTGCTGAGAATTGTGTCATCAGTGAGACAGTGGACTGATGTGGATATTTCTGACAAAAGACCTTACCACAAAACATGTACAGGTAGTGAGTTTATGCATGGGGGGTTTCATAGCAATAAAATAATTTGTTACTCAATTATGACATTATTTTGCATCATACCTTTATGGACACCCTGTAGTTTCCAACATTAATTTAACACAATAAATGGACACTCTGCTTTGTAAATAATCATTCTGGATTATTCTTCAAATTTTCTGGATCTTTTCTATCGGTTTGCTAAGCCAAGCAAACAAGCATATCATTGCTTATCTTTTTTAGCCTCAAATGCATGGAGCATTGCACAAAAAAATGGATAACTGGTAATCAACTTCTCAATGTTGAATTATGTAATGAAGAGACAAAAAAAAAATGGATGTCATTATTTGATTCTGTTGGACATGGGTAGGAAAGATCTTACCTTCCAAGTTATTGGGTGTTAACATAAGTAGTGTCCGTTTTTTTCAAATTTAAAAATGTGTGCCAAAAGTAAAGCACATTGGCAAAGGTTATACGTCATTTGAAAGAAAATTTTCTGCTCCACAAGATATTGTGTTTGCCTTTAGTTACATTTATTATTTTATTTAATTACAGGTCTTCGAAATGGAATGTCAAGTAGACAAAAGTGAGTACTTTCGACACCTCCTTCTGTTCGCGTTCAATCAAGGGAATAAAGCTGCTCAAGCTGCTCGCGATATTTGCGCAGTGTACGGTGAAGATGCTATGAATGAAAGGACAGCTCGTCGATGGTTTTCGAGTTTCAAAGACGGTAATTTCAACCTGAAGGACATGGAGCGTTCCGGACGACCAGTGGAATTCGATTAGGACCGTTTAAACCAGCTTATTCATGAAGATCCCTGTCAAACCACCGTAGAATTGGCTGAGCAGATGGATTGCAGTCACATGACCGTATACCGCCATCTTCAGTCAATGGGAAAAGTCCAGAAGTTCAGTGCTTGGGTCCCACATGTTTTGAGTGAAAACAACAAAAATCAACGTTCGACAATTTCTGCTGCTTTCCGTTGCTTCATATTCACATAAAGGCACCATTTTTCATCACCAGTAATGATGCGGTAAAGAAACCTTTGCTTGTGGCCATGCGTAGCTCGATGACGCGCGAGCAAACCAGCAGAAATTGTCGAACGTTGATTTTTGTTGTTTTCACTCAAAACATGTGGGACCCAAGCACCGAACTTCTGGACTTTTCCCATTGACTGAAGATGGCGGTATACGGTCATGTGACTGCAATCCATCTGCTCAGCCAATTCTACGGTGGTTTGACAGGGATCTTCATGAATAAGCTGGTTTAAACGGTCCTAATCGAATTCCACTGGTCGTCCGGAACGCTCCATGTCCTTCAGGTTGAAATTACCGTCTTTGAAACTCGAAAACCATCGACGAGCTGTCCTTTCATTCATAGCATCTTCACCGTACACTGCGCAAATATCGCGAGCAGCTTGAGCAGCTTTATTCCCTTGATTGAACGCGAACAGAAGGAGGTGTCGAAAGTACTCACTTTTGTCTACTTGACATTCCATTTCGAAGACCTGTAATTAAATAAAATAACAAATGTAACTAAAGGCAAACACAATATCTTGTGGAGCAGAAAATTTTCTTTCAAATGACGTATAACCTTTGCCAATGTGCTTTACTTTTGGCACACATTTTTAAATTTGAAAAAAACGGACACTACTTATGTTAACACCCAATATAAAATACTATGGAACAGATAAGGCTATTATTTTGCAAGATGGTAAGTGTATTAATCATTAGCCTCTAGTTCAAAACATAATTATATGGAGTTTCCCCAATCCATCTATTTTTCTTTGTTGACAAATTCACATATTTCAAAACTTATTTGGCTATGACTCTTATTCTCTTTCCCATTACTTGTAGCCTTTAATAGGCATATATCAATGGACTTTCAACATGCACACAATTTCTTCCAGAGCAGTGCAGATCAAACTGATATTCATGAGTGGCAGCCAATGGCATAAACATGAAAGTGGACTTGCCTGACCTGAAAATAGCAAGCAATGATCTTACCTTTACGCTTTGATGAAGAGGACTTATGCTTTTCCTTGACTTTGTCTTGTTGGTCATCAGATGAGGCAGTTTGAGAATTTGACTCCTTCTCACTGGAAGGAGGAGACACAGAAGGAGGGGCAATGGGTTGTGAAAATTCCTCCTTCTTCATGGCTGGTGACAGTCTCTGAAGGCTTGCCTCTTTCTTCTTACTATTCTTCAGAGTCACAGGCTGCTTTGAAGGTTCTTCAAGCAAACCAGTAGACCTAAATTTACTGTTGAAAGTCTTCACAGTCTTCGGTCTTTCAGACTTGGATTTTGTTATCTTGGACAAGAAATCATCATCCACATCAAGCTTCACGTCTGAAAAGTCACTATTGCTCATTCCATCACTGGAGGGCTTGCTTGAATTCTTTGAATTCAAATTTTGAACAGATGCCATATCTGGGGTCCTTTTCTTCATTTTCTTCACTTCAACATCTTCAGTGTTCTTGCGTTTCTTCTTGCTCTCCACAGAAGATCCTTGATCACTCTTCCTGCTACTGCTGTTTTTGTCCTTTCCTCTCAAATCCTTCTTGCTCTCTTTTCTCCTCTTGCTCCTCTCCTTATCTTCCTCACTCTCTCCCTCATCCTCACCACTCAACTTTTCATTGTGGTTCTGGAGGCGCATTTCATTTCCTTTCACTATTCCCATCCATTTCTTGACTAAGGCCAGAGCAAGCCTCTGAATACCTGTTAGAAAGGATTTTTAAATTTCATCAACTCGATCAAGTCATGAATGCAGTAACAAAAGCCTCACAAACATAGCAAAAATGGTATTGTTACTACATCGACTTGAATTCACACCGGGAGGTAAGCCCAAAACCTACAACTGCAGAGATGAATTATATGAAAGAATAATAAGAATCCAGAACTGATATTCAGTTGCAGTTGCTATTCAGCTACAAGGACATTTCTAAGTAAGGTTTCAGGGGTTGCAACCCAGGTGCAGCAACCAAGCATCAATGCATTCTTTCCAACTTTACAGACCAATTCAATTCAAGAGTGGAAGCTGCCATGTGCCCCTATCCTCCATTCTTCTCTACTTGGCAGCTACAGCATCTATTTGGATGTAAAAAGCATAGAGGGATGGCTGCAGATGCCAAAATATGGTGAACGTAGAGAAAATACCAATAATTTATTGAGCTGATAAAAAATCAAATTATTGTCCAAATATGAGGGGTGATCAAATATAAACGAGAATTCAGTTATTGTACAAAGGTTATTCAACCCGTCTGAACACGACTTCACTGACAAGTAGAAACATGTCTAAACTTGCAACAAGGCCTAGTCTGATCCCTCTCCATATCCCCTATCAGTTGCAGTCAAGATGTCTGAGCAGCAAGTACCAAGTAGTGTTGCGCAATGTATTATTATTAAATTTCTTACAAACAAAGGTGTCATTCCTTCAGAAATTTATACCAAACTTAGTTTAGTGAAGAATGTCTGTCACAGGCAAGGGTGTATAGCTGGGTCAAATCAATCAAAGGACGAAAATGCGTAGAGAATGAACCTCATGCTCGAAGACCAAGAACTTCTGTCACTCCAGACAATGTGATCAAAATTGACAGCCTTATTAGAGAAAATTGTCGCATAACCATACGTAAAATTTCACAGGAGACTGGGATAAGTGTAGGGAGAGTGGAAGAAATTGTGCACAGTGAGCTGAAATTTAGGAAAGTGAGTGCGAGGTGGGTACCACAAATTCTTTCACCGGAACATGAAGAAAGATGTTTGGTGGCTGTTACTAAACTTTTTCAGAGATATAAAAAAGGAGACATTTTTGGAGTCTATAATAACTTGCGATGAAACCTGGGTGCAATATTTTACTCAGGAGTCAAAACATGTGAGTATGGAGTGGTGACACACAAATTCTCCACCTCCAAGAAAAGCAAAAACCATTTTTTCACCAGGAATGTTAATGGTGTCATTTTTTTGGGATTCAAAGGGGATAATTTACGTGGACTTCCTCACAGAACAAAGAACTATCAACGTAGAGCATTATTAAAATCTCCTGACTCAAAAAGTGAAGCCAGCAATCCAATCAAATCGAAGAGTACCCCAATCTGCAGTCTGCTTCCTTCAAGACAACGCTCGTCCTCACACCGCTGCTTTGACCATGCAAGCTCTCCAAAATTTAAAATGGGATGTACTACCGCATCCACCATACAGCCCCGACCTGGCACCATCTGATTATCACTTGTTTGGACCACTGAAGGAATTTTTAGGAGGAGAGAAGTTCTGCAATAATGACGATGTGATCGAAGCCGTGCATGATTGGATAGGTAATCAATCAAAATATTTCTTTTAAACCGGAATTATGAAGCTTCCAGAACGCTGGCAGAAGTGCATTGCAGTTGAAGGGGACTATTCATACATTGGAAAACTGATGCAACTAGTCCACCAAAAAAATGATATCCAAGGTTCCCTTTTAAATGTTGCTTTTTAGTAGTGCTTGAACCAACAATAGAGGGAATCGTTCAGGCCCTGTTACACTTGGTGAGTACTTGCCAGGGCCATTCACTGAGTGTAAAATCCCACTTGCTAGGGCCACTCGCTTTGTTTAACACCTCACTCGCTAGCACTTGCTACGAGTTTAAAAGATTTCAAACTTTAGGTGAGTACTTGCTAGAAAGGGGTGTTATACTAAGTAAGTGGCCCTAGTGGCCTTAGTGAGTACTTGCTAGCGAGTGGGATTTTACACTAAGTGAATGGCTCAAGCGAGTACTCGCTAAGTGTAACAAGGCCTTTAAGTGTTAAGATATTTATCAGACCTAACTTAAAATATTTTAGTGAAAAGTAATGATGAAAAGACAATGTTCTTGAGAGTGGACATCAGTTCTCAGGTTAAAATAGCAGTACTTAGTAGCAAAAATCAGTAAAATACAAGGCTGTACCAATGTATTGGCTACCACTAGTATCACACTATCAGTACCATTGGCCATCAGTTGATTTGCAAGCTGCTGATGCCAATGCCTGAAGGAGAGGCAAAACTTACAGGCAAATACAGTATACAAAAAAATAGGAGTGAACATGTGAACCCAAAAATATAGATCAGATTATATTTCAACCTTAGTCTAGGAACTGATGGAGAAAAATGGCAGGAGAGAACAGGAAATCATAGTCTCTCCTTTTATGCTATGCATTTGCTATAGATGTGATATTAAATGCTCTTAACCAGCAGCAATAGGCAACAAGCTGAACACTTACAGACACAGACAGCACTAAATATGGCATCTATCGTTCTTATGGGGTCCCCAGAGAAGTATCACATGGCTTCAAAATAGGCCTATTTGAATTAGTATGCATTTTCATGTTAATTCTCAATTTTCAAACGACTGGCACAGGCACTGGCCAATGGCCAAGATGAAAATTGGCCATCGGTACAGCCCTAGTAAAATACCATCCATATGTAGACAAGAGAGTTGATAAGGTTGATAGAAAAAAAGGAAAGGCTAGGAGTGGCAACAAATGAGTAGCTTAATATACAGAGGAGGACAAATATAAATTGCTGCACCAAGATACTATCCTTCCTAAGCAGAATGGTAACAAAACAATTAAGTGTCACCTAAGAATGGCTGCAATTTTCAGGGATTGTGCTAACTTTCTTGATTTAAGGGTCCCCCCAGGACTCTCAGGTCAGGTATGAAAGGAAAATGGAAAATTTAGGGGTTCCATCACAATTGAAGCATGAAGAAATCTTGCAAAGTTGCACAAAAAGTTCAAGTCAATGTATTTCTTTGATTTAACATAACCAAACAGCAAGATATTCAATCCAGCAGCCTCAGGACTACTTAGAAAATTTTCTTATTTGCATTTGGGTAGAAATCACAGGCAGCTCTTCCATCTCTATAGGAAAGCCATGTTGACCCACTCCTTTTTCCATTCTTTAAATCTTTTCTCCTTTGTTGGGATTCATAATGAAAATGGACAGCTTGTGAACCATCGCCCACGTCCTTCACTTTCCCTTCGGTTTGACTAGGTCAAGGCTTATGTCGATTTTCCCTTCTCTGTGCACATTAAGTGGAACGAAGACATCACCTTCATTTCGAATTTAGACCGATGTTGATACCTTTCTTTATGGCGCACTAGGCCTATGTTCAGGAACACCTGAACGTATGCCAACGAGTGATTAGAATAAACTAAATTAAGTGGAACGAAGACATCACCTTCATTTAGAATTTAGACCGATGTTGATACCTTTCTTTATGGCGCACTAGGCCTATGTTCAGGAACACCTGAACGTATGCCAACGAGTGATTAGAATAAACTAACATCGTACATTTTCCGCTTGAAACTGAACGAGAAGAGTGTTGGCCCCGACTGCCCTGAAGCCTTAATTGAAACGAACAGAAATACGTTATGAGTGCGTGAACACTCAACTTGCGCTCCGCTCATCACTTTCACGTGGCGCACAGGTTTATTTAGGCACGGTTCTAAGCGGCAACTGCCAACTGGTCTGAAAAATGGTAAAAAAATCTTAGAAATTCCCCGCGTGCCCCTGGGACCCCAATGTTTTCTGTTATGCGTCCCTTCAGAATTTTGTGTGTATAGGATGCACATTTACGCATAAACGCAAGCCCTGAATGTCAATGAACTAAACTACTAGCTGCTCTTTGAAACTGAATCTTCCACTATGAAGTACAATGTCAATTACAGTGCATAAAGACACGTGTCAACAAGAGAATGGCAAGAATGCTTACAACACACTTGTCCAGCAACTCCAAGATTACCTTTAGCCATGCCCAATTATTAGTACTGTTTGCATCAAGCAACCATGTGTTCACCAATGCCCAGCCTCCAGCTGACATGAACCTTGATATAAGAATGACAATTTTTTAGTACCAGTTCCTCACAGCTGTTATGTCAGACGAGCAAAGTGAAACACTTTGTCACAAAATGTATTATGAGACTAGAAACCATCAGATATAATATCATATTTCTATTTCATTGGGATACAACACATTGAATGTAATTTACTCCTCCCAACAAGTACATCTTTGAAGCTGGTGGAGAAAGCACATTAAAAATATTAAACACTGATTATATCCTATCTCACTAGGGTGTCCTAAAAATGCACTACGTTTGCTTAAGACATTATGATTTTTTTTATGTGATCTACACCAAAGAAAGGTAGACGGAAGTAGGTTTTATTGGTTCCTACAGGAAGTTTGTCGGTACGTCCTCACCAAACCTCGTAGACATTTGTACTGAGATGTGGACAAAAAACAGCACTTTTATGAACACAGCAATCATGTCCAGACAATCAAGACACCTTGTATACCATACTCTCTAAGTTGATCACCTCATTCCACCAAAAATCAGCCAGGAGTAAAGTGAACATATCTAATTTAAAAGAAAGTCAGCATACATAGAGGAACTGACTTTAAAAAAGAAAAGCTTTTATGAAAAATTTTTGAATATTTTGCATGGTTTGCATTTCTACATTTCAATATTGGCTTATGTAGGCCATTTGAAACTGACTGATGGTAGTTTTTAACCAATATATCCTCTACCAATTGAGAAGCTTCATACTAGAGTCATTTCAATTGTGAAATTGTCTTTGGTTTAATGATATCTCATACAAACCTTCAAGGCAACAAATGAAATTGTGGATTTTAAGTGGACAGCTTGACCAGCTTCAGTGACTGCTATACTACCCCTCCAACATACCAAATGTCTAATAACTCATTCGAAAGTTCCCTTTATGCCTTTTCTAATGAATTTCATTTCAAGATCAATACTCTTGCTTCCTGAACTATGAGCACTTCAAGAAAACATAAAATCACCTAAGCAAAGAATTTGATTAAGAGGTCCCTGTGCCTACCATTTGAATCTCTTGAGCATTTCATGAATGCCTCCATTCATGCATATCACATGAGAGAAATTGTTATAATAATAAAAAATATTTATTGAAAAAAAATAGAAACAACTTACAGATCCAAGAGGCTGGGTTGTGTGTTTTTCAATATCTCAATATATATGCACTTGCTCACCAACTTTTTGCTAAACTTGCGCATCAACCTAAAACATACACAAGCAGCAAGAAAATAAACATTTTCACTGAAGACCCTTTCATGAGAGGTGTCTCACACAATGTTCTTACCCTGCTAGTCGAGCAACTTCATCCTCAGACTTAATTCCACCATCAGGGCCAAGTAATATACTGAGACACTTCAACAACTGCAGAGGGTTTATCCGTGGCTACAAAGATAAAATGTGATATGTTATGCAAACTATATTTGATCAGCATGAATGCAAATGATACTAGATACTGAATGCAACTGAATGCTTTCCCAACACACATCAGTTCTCATATAGTTATTCCAGCATATATTGGCTTTACAACAGATAAGATACTTACCATTGCAGCAACACTAGTTCATGACAAAGCAGTACCATTCAGTAACTAGTTGAGGTCAACCTGGGAGAAGGAGGGGATACCTCCCAATATTTAAAAACCTGAAAAAAGCAGAAAATCAACATTCATTTAGTATCAAAAGTTGCAAACCAGTATCAGACCCTTAGATTAGATATATCTGAATATACTTCTAATAATAAAAACACCATACTCCTATGCTACTCTGGTGTTAACACAATATTTTGAGACTCTGAAATAAGAAAGCATATTCAATTGCACCTTGTACAACGAAGATTTCACCAATATATTGATTGCATCAACTGAACACAAAAACACCAGCATACACTCTTGTTCTAGGTTTCCCAAAAACATTGCAAGCTAGTTACTCATAGTTGGGGTTGATGTTTTTCCAGGCATCATCTAGAAAATTTTACTCAAACATGTAAGACAGTTGTTAGATCTACAGTTTCCATCATGAAATGCTTATATCAGGGAATGGCTAATTTGCTCCTCAGGCTGGAATTTTATGCAGGATTGCATTCCTGTCCAACTTCTAAGGCACTCCCAATGTTTTCCATCTCCTTCCTGTTCATATACATTCAAGCATTTTCATTGGAAGAAGCAAATATTGATTTTTCTCCTGTGTGATACTCTAATGCCAATAAAGCTCCAATAAATTAAGCTACTGTCTCAACATTTTTTATCACAAGCAATCCATGGTATCAAAGTCCACAATGGATTCTTACTCTGTTCCTAAGGCCCACCTTGCGTCAAGCCTTTCTCCACACCTCATGAAGATAATTTTTGACACATTCAATATTACGACAAATTCAATGTCAAACCATATTGTCCATATTACATAAAATCCACACCACTAAACACAATACACTATTGTTTGCAAAAGTAATTTTCAAACATGTCCTGCTAAACAAACCATCACATACTCTCCCATAATATCATCAAAGGCTCAACATTCCAGTTGTTCAGTTTTCATGGCTGGTCTATTGGCAATGACCATGATGCATATACGCACAATATCACATGGAAGAGCTTATGACAGTTTGGTTCATGCAACCAGAATGCAAGAATATATGTTGAGTAAAAGTTTCACATCCAAACCAGGTGAATTTTCATAATGCACCTGAGTGCATGAAAACCATTACAGACAGCTTATCTGACAGACATTATTCAAAACTTGAAACTTATCAAAAATGCATAAAGCAATAGGGAAAAATGCCTGTCTAATGTATGAGAAACTTTAGCTTCATATGCTTTTTTCTATCCTACCATTTTGTCCTACCTACCATACCCATTTTTTTGCTGATCCTCAGACATCAGATCTAAAAATAAGTCCAGTAAAACAAGAATCATACACACTCAATAAGTTGATAGACAATTATACCTGCACAAATTATCATGGCAATTACTCAACAGCTTGAATATGTGAATTTACAGAATTTCCAGTTAGGTAAGCTAGGTATGTACAGGTTAGGTTCTGCTTGGTAAGCTATTAGAATGACTAATTGTTGCTCAGAGAATTGAATATGATCTGTAGTTAAAAAAAAAAAGTGAAACCAGGCAATCCAATGGAATATCCTGATAGAAACATTCACCTGCACTTGGATGCTATTTGCTCTGGTGACATGATGATGGCATTCAATGCAAACTTTACTAATTCTTTCATTCACAATTATCTGAGATTTGCTCAGACAGACATTTCTGCCAAACTTACACCTTTGGATATCTTCACTCAATTGTAACATCCACAGAATGCAATAGATGTATTGAAACAACACAAAGTGTACTGTACAAACCTTTATTCAAACAACAAGTGGGGGAATTTCCAATATGGGTTCCTTGGGGCTATATGCACCAACAAGAATATCATAAATCAGTGAGGAGGTGGCTTCTGCCTCAATGAAAAGATAAACTAAATGGGGTAATTGGAGAACACTTTCCAATAAATTTCAACTCTGATTTTTTTTCATAAAACTTAAAATAAATAAAAACTTAAAAAAAGGACCATTTACATGAAAAAAAAGAAAAACTGAGATGAGATCAAAAGGAGTTTGAAAAAAAAAAAACTAGTCTGAAGACTAGTTATGTGGAGCTTCACAGTCCATGACAAAGGTCTGAGAATAGTATGAAGTCCAAATCACTACCTGCATCAAAGGCATTCCTGGGGTCTGAACTTCATTCATGGGACTTTCCAGAAATGTACAAGGGATGGCTAAAAGCTTAGTTACCAAAAAGAAATCATGTTATGGTTTCAAGGACAGCTCAAACACAGGGTGTCCAAAAAAATGTTAATGCCTGTAATTCTTATACCATTGATACCACTGAAACTTGCTTTCATTTTACAGATAAAGTAGAGTTTTATTAAGTTATAACCACTACCACGCCTATGCCTAAATGGGAACTTTAGCAGAAATGGAAAAATTGGATGGTGGCATTAAATTAGGGGCACGGTTCAAGTACAGCAAAACTTCTACTGGGAAGTAATTTAATGTCCAAACCATTCCATATATAATTTTTAAAAACATCTGCACACTTGTCCAAATTTTGAGGCAGACAGGACAAACCATCAACTTCATAAGGATGCAATGGTCATGAATGCACTGCTTGGATGGAGAACATCACCTGGATACAAGAAACAGTGATGTGAAGTCATATTAAATCAGCGCAT